CAAAATGTATATAAATTAAGTAGACCAACGCAGTAAAATAGTACTGCAAAATTTTATTAAGTAGGATATATAGTCTGCTATAAAAAATTCTTATTTCTTCACAATCCTTGCCTTATTTTGAATGCTATAACCAGAAGCGTTTTGGGCTCTGTGCTCTGTTCCAGCCCTTTAAAAGGCTCTGTGCATCACATCTACTGTGATTGGCCTCCAAGGAAGCTGCAAAACACAGCATCGTTTGGGTCTTTGCACAGGTTCCTCCCTATTATTCACTCTTTTGACTGTCTACTCTCTGCTCTCGTTTCCCCAGCATGCCAAACTTCGTTCCACACCATCCCTTCATTTTGACCACTTTAAGAACGTCTCTCCTCTGGCTCATAGCTAACAGCTCCTGGCTCTGGCATCGGCTCTCAATGCTTCTTCAATTGCAGCCACACCACCAGCTTCAGGTACAAGAAATCCCTTCCACTAGTCCTGTCCTCGGGGAAACTTTACCAAGAAGTCTTGTCCCTTTCTGTCTCTTGTCAGGGCAGGAAATTTTGATGTTTGGACAAGTTTGGATGTTAACATTTTTCCTTCACTTAAAATTTCCTCTAACAAACAGGGATAGATTTTAGGGGTCCTATTGGTATCCCTTGTCATCTCTGAGAGCAGAGAATATGTTAATCTGGTGGTGCTTGTTCTACCTAGTTTCCCATACCACCCAACACTTAGGCAAGACATAGTCACTTACACTACTTCTTCTTCCTCTTCTGCCTCTCTTCCTCTTTCTCCTTCTTATATTTGCTTTTACAATGAAATCTCTCCTCCTTTGAACCATTTCTTTTCTTATTGCCTAACAAACTCAAAATGCCTTAAAGCATTAAATCAATCTATTCATCTCAGGCCTTGAAATTGAAATTGACATTATCATGAGAGCATTTCTTTTTCATTTTATCTGTCATGGACGTGAATATAAAGTGTAAGCATAAACTTATGACACCACGTTTTCTGGAATATTCTAGAATTTATACACCAAATTTGCATCCTTCAAAGCAATCACCAAGATGGGTAACACAAATATCCCTATGATATAATATTGTCACAAATGTTTCGTGACTCCTCTTTTGGAATTAGAATATAGTAGGAAGAACATGAGGTTCTGAGATTATCTGAACCACTAGTCTGTCACACATTAGCTGTGCAATGCTGTGCAAGTTCCTCTCTCAGAACTTTCACTTCCCCATGTATAAAATGAGGTTAAGCCCTGGCTGGTGTGGTTTAGTGGACTGAATGCTGGCCTGTGACCCAAAGTCACCATTTCAATCCCCAATCAGGGCACACGCCTGGGTTGTGAACCAGGTCCCCAGTAGGGGGCGTGCAAGACACAACCAATCTATGTTTCTCTCCCACATCCATGTTTCTCTCCCTCTCTTTCTCCTTTCCTTCCCTTCTCTCTAAAAATAAATAAATAAATAAAGTCTTTTAAAAATATTTAAAAAGTAAGGAAAATAAAATGCAGTTAAGATTATTGGTCTTGCTGAGTTTTGTAGTGAGTCAATCATGCCCATGTTCATGCTCCCATATTAGAGCCAATTTATCATTTGCACAAGACAATTATTTTCCTTGTACACTCTCCCTTAGTTGATGGCTCTGTTTCCTGCTCCCTCATTTGTGTTCTGGTCAAACTCAACTATATTCTTCCTTTAAAAATTAGGAGTAGGAGGGAACTTTTCTGACTTGATATATACCTAAACCTACAAAAAATAAAATAATTAATGGAAAATCTATAGATACCATCCCATTAACCAAAAATCATTTTCTATCAAAACTATAATTTAATGTAGTATTGGAGGCTGCGACCAATATTTTATAAGACCAACATAAAGGAAAAGCATAAGAAATACATTCAATATGAATTTAAAAAAGAAATATATAAATTCCATTACTTGTACAGAATAGAATCACTAACAGATAAACCTAACAGACTATACAGTCACATTTTAAAAACTAATAAGAGAGGTCAGAAAGCTTTCTGTTACTTATGATTAACAATAACACAAACAATTCAAAATTTATGGCACCCTTCCTATATATAACTAGAAAGTTAAATAGGAAAAAAAATAAGATATCCCTTAAAATAATAAGATCTAAAAGTTTCTAGAAAACAACACGGAAAACAGAAAATTGTACAGAGAACATTTAAAAACTCTTTATAAATATTAGGGGAGTTTTGACCAAATGAAGATATACCATGTTCATATTTGGGGTGATTTAACATGATAATGGTAGCAATCCACTTCATATTAATTAGCAAATTCAATGTGGTCCAAAATCAAATTCCATCAAGACTTTGGGGGAAAGTTGGTAGACTGGCTTACATTTATAAAGGAAAAATTTTCATAAATTGCTAATCAACTTGAGAGAGAAGAGCGAAGACAAAGGATTCACCCTATTAGATATTAAGATATACTTTAAAGCCATAGTAATAACATGGCACGGTACCCGTGTAGGAACTAATAGGTAAACGAAGGAGCAGAAAAGAGAGGTGATGTATTACAGAATTATACACTTGAAACCTGTATAATTTTATTAACCAATGTCACCCCAATAAATTTAATTTAAAAAGAAAAATAAATTAAAAAATGGTGCCTCAAGAAAAAAAGAAAAGAGAGCTCAGAAATACCTTCAAGTATATATAGTAATTTGCTTTATGATAAAGATGCCCCTCGAAGCATCAGAAAAGAAACAGGTTGTTTTTTAGTTTATAGTGAACTACTTTGCTAATTGAGGACTATAGGTGGATTCCTACCTTACATAATATACAACAGTAGGATTTAGATGAATTAGACATAAATGGAAGAGGTAAAGTTAAATGTACAGCACTTAATGTAATCTAAAGAGGGAAACAATTTTTTGGTTTCCACATGCAAAATCATAAGGCCAAAAAAAAAAAGTCTTTTTATCACATAATGATTACAAAGTTCCGGTCAACAAAGAATATATAGACAATGTTAAGTGATAGGTGACAGATAGAAGATATTTAAGTCATTAAGCCAACAGGGGATTAATATCTAGGATATATGGGAAACCCCACAGAGAAATGGAAAAAGGATGTAACTAATAACTAAGCAGGTCACTGAAAGAAAAGTCCAAATGGCTACCAAATATATCGAAAGATTCTTAAAATCTCAAATATTCAGAAATATGTCAGTAAAAGACAACGAGATATCACTTTAATACCACAAGAATTACCAAAATTATAGAAGTGGATAGTGCCACTGATGTTGTAAGCAGTAAGTACCTTACTTCATTTATAAAAGCTTTTTAAAGTCATGTTTTGTGATTCTATTTGTTGTAATACCGCAGCGACTGTTATTGTATCAATCCCCAAAAGGCCTCTTTTATTAGGTGTATGTTTCTATAATAGGTGCTTGTTTTGTGATTCTTAGAATTACAAAATAGTGCTAGGCAATGCCGTATATTTACGTGTGCCCATGAAAATACATGTATACAAAGGAAAGACAAGAACCCAATGCAACTGTGCTATTTCCTTTCTTCCTCTGTGAAAAGTGGTGGCCTAGCGTTAAGGTGAAAAGAAGGGAATAACCTTTTATGGAGCTAGACAGTGTACCAGGCTTCAATCTGGGCACTTTCAGTTGTCTGTTCAATCTGAACCACATTATGAGGGAGTAGGTATTATTTTCCCATTGTATGGATAAGAAAAGAGGTTCAGAAGGGTAAAATCGTTTGTCAAAAGCACAGGATTAGTGATGACCGGTGTAGCTCAGTGGGTTGAAGGTCATCCTGCCAACTGGAAGGTCATCGGTTCGATTCCCAGTCAGGGCACATGCCTGGGCTGCGTGCCTGGTGCCAGCGAGGGGGTGTGCAAGAGGCAACCAATCAATGTGTTTCCCTCGCACATCGATGTTTCTCTCCCTTCCTTTCCCTCTCTCTAAAAGTAAATATATAGCATCTTTTCTGTTTTAAGCACAGGGTTAGAGCCTGGTTCTGTTTGGGCTGGTGGTCTTTTTAGTACAGCACCATAACCGTGGGGGCAGATTGAAACTGGGTGGCGAAGCTGGAGAAAACTTGGTCTGCACACATCAGAAAGTAAACTGGCAGAGCTAGAGCTATTGTCGTTAGTTGTTTTTTTTTCCGCTTACCAGAAATGTCCTATGCTACTCACGGGTTTAATCGTCTGAGGCGTGTGAATGCAGATTGCGGTGAAATGAGTGACTCTGCAGCAAGGACTTTGTATTCTCTGTATTCATTCACGTTCAGACATGCGTGACCTGTAAACTTTGTCAACCTTGTTTTTTTCCCCCTACCATGGATGATTTTTTTCCCTTTTTTAAAGATTTCATTTATTTATTTTTAGAGAGAAGGGAAGCGAGGGAGAAAGAGAGGGAGAGAAACACCAGTGTGTGGCTGCCTCTCACTCGCCCCGTACCAGGCGTGTGCCCTGACTGGGAATTGAACCTGTGACTCTTTGGTTTCCAGGCTGGCGCTCAGTCCACTGAGCCACACCAGCCAGGGTCCATGGATGTTTCTTTTAACTGGACTGAGATCCATAGACCTCCCAGGCGCATCTCCAGTGGTGAAATTTCAGGTGTCAGCCTCCAACACCAAGGGAGGCATTTGATTGTGCAGGGCTGAGAGGAGGGTTGGGAAGTTTCTTGATTTTTTAAATTAAATCAAATATGCAGTTAAGTGCCTTCTGTGCCTCTGCGTGCTAACAATTTTTATCATAGGAGAAATAACAATGGTCTTTCGCGGATACACATAGAGATTGCTTTAGACATGGGTTTACTGTGGAAGTTAACTGTGGGCGAATTTTTGTTTCATTTTCTTGAAGCAGCTAGGAAATGTTGAGAGAGAAATGGAAACAAAACAACTTTCTCTTTTTCCTTTGCAGGAAAGCCACATGGAAAGACCATTTCTTCAAAAATGAGCATCATACATGGGAAGGGCCTTTTTTTTTTTTTTTTCTCATGGCAACTCTGAAGCCTGGGGCTGACACCATGGGCTTTGAGAACTTCCAGCCTTCCCAGCAGCTCTGGCTTGTTTTAATGGGATTGTCTCTGCTGTCTTTGGCAGAGACGTACGGATTCAGCAAATGTGCACAGTATGAATTGGACATTCACCACGTTTTCTGCATTCGGAAGAAGATCACCAACTTGGCAGAGGCCATTTCTGACATCCCTGGGTACACTACTCACCTCAACCTGACACAAAACGAAATTCAAGTCCTTCCTGCCTATGGCTTTACTAATCTGTCCGCTCTGGTGGATTTGCGACTGGAGTGGAACTCCATTTGGAAGATCGAGAAGAGGGCTTTTTGGGGACTTGCAAATCTGACCCTTTTGAACTTGGTAGAAAATAAGATTCAAAGTGTGAATGACTCCTTTGAGGGCCTGTCCAACTTGGAGACTTTGCTCCTGAGCCATAATCAAATTACCAATATTCACAAAAATGCCTTTGTCCCTCTTCTCAAATTGAAACACTTAAGCTTGTCTAGAAACAGTATTACCAACTTTTCCAATGTTCTCGAAGCCGTCCAGCATCTTCCACACCTGGAATACCTCGATCTTACTAACAACAGCATCAAGTCCTTGGACCACAGTCCCGGGTCTTTGGTCTCCCTGACCTGGCTGAGCCTGCAGGGGAACAAGCTAACAGAATTAAATTTCTCTGCTTTGTCACTGCCTAACGTGACCACTCTGGATGTCTCTCAGAACAGCCATAAAGCCATCCAGCATGTGGCTCTGGAAACTCTGCCCCAGCTGAGGAGCTTGAATCTGAGCGGCACATTGGTAAACCTGGAGAGGCTTCCAGCCAAATATCTACAGAATCTCAGTGAACTAGACCTTAGCAGCTGGGAGTTTAGAAGTGGTCACTTAAACATCAACAGTGTGTGTCACCTCCTCAGAAACTTGCCCATGTTAGAGGCTTTTGTCTTTAGGAAAAAGGCCACCGATGCAGGGGACATAAAGCGTCTCGCCAACTGTACCAGGCTTTTGTCCCTTGACCTGAGACAAAACAATAACCTGGTTCACCTCAATGACAGCGAGTTCAATGGTATGCCCAGCCTCAAGAGCCTGCAACTAGATAGGTGCCAACTTTCCTCTGTCACCAACCAGACCTGGAGCGCCCTCCAGAACTTGACCACCTTACATATGAGCCACAACAAGTTTAAAGGATTTCCCGATTTTGCATTTTCACCCTTGAGGTCCTTAGAAGTTCTCTTCCTCTCTAGAAATCCCATCACAGAACTCAGCGGCAGGGCCTTCTATGGGCTGTATTCTTTGAAGGAATTCAACCTGGCTGGGTGCTGGATAGTGGAAATTGACAAATACACCTTTGCTCAATTTCCAAATTTAGAAATTTTAGACCTCGGCTACAACAATCTTCGAACTCTAAAACGCAGAACCTTTCATTTTCTGAAGAAACTCCAAGTTCTGATTCTCTCCCAGAACCGCCTGAGTATTATCGAGACGAATGCATTCTCTGGCCTTACTTACCTTAACACCCTTGACTTGACATACAATATCTTGTCAAGTGTAAGGGCAAGTTTTTTCTTGGGCCTTGAAAATCTAGAAGTTTTGAATCTCGGTTTTAATAAAATTACATATGAGACCAGTAGGACCTTTCACTTTCCCCCATTTATGAACCTCAAGTCTTTGAAACAACTCAACCTCGAAGGACAGGTGCATGGGGTTCAGGTTGTCCCCACCAACTTCTTCCAAGGGCTGAGCAGCTTGCAGGAGCTACTCCTGGGCAAAAATCCCGTGGTATTCTTGGACCATCTCCAATTCGACTGCCTGACTAACCTCACAAAGTTGGATATCTCAGGAACCAAATCTGGAGAGCGAAGTCTCTATTTAAATATTTCCTTATTCCAGAAACTCAAAAGACTACAAATGCTGCGCCTGGAAAACAACAACATTGAGTCGCTGACTCCCAGTATGTTCTCGGGCTTAGAAAGACTTCAGGTCTTCTCTTTAAGATTCAACAACCTCGAAGTCATTAATCAAAGTCATCTGGAGAACTTGAAGTCTCTTAAATACTTTGATCTCTATGGGAACAAACTCAGGTGCAACTGTGAGAATGTGTGGCTCAAGAACTGGTCGATAAACACGCCCAATGTCCACATACCTTACCTCTGGAGCTACCCCTGTCAGCAGCCAAACACTCAGAGTCTGTTGGTGGATTTTGATGATGCTCTGTGCAATTTTGACCTGGCGAGGGTTTGCTTCTTCTGCTCCTTCAGTCTGGTCCTCGCGACAATGGTCTTCTCTTGGTTCAGTGCCAAGATAACGTCATTTCTGTGGTACGGGCTGTACATATTTCGAACCCGGTACCTGGCCAGGTGGCACAGGACAGAGAAGGAGTTCATCTACGATGCCTTTGTCTCTTTCACTGCCACTGATGAGCAGTGGGTCTATGAAGAGCTTGTTCCAGCCCTCGAAAAAGACGGCCAGCCCACCTTTAAGCTGTGTCTTCACCAGCGGGACTTTGAACCAGGGATGGACATCTTCGAGAACATTCAGAATGCCATCAACGCCAGCAGGAAGACCCTGTGTGTGGTCAGTAACCACTACCTGCAGAGCGAATGGTGCCGCCTCGAAGTGCAGCTGGCCAGCATCAAGATGTTCTATGAGCACGAGGACGTTATCATCTTGATCTTCCTGGAAGAGATCCCAAGCTACAAGTTATCCAGCTACCACCGACTCAGGAAACTTGTGAACAGGAAGACATTTATCACCTGGCCAGACAGTGTCCACGAGAGGCCACTCTTCTGGGCTCGTATTAGAAATGCATTGGGCAACAAATCCGTGGAGAAGAACAACGTGCAGCTAATTGTGGTTGAATGACTGGAAGTCTTGGTGACCTCCAATCTACTGTTGCCTGAGGGATGCAGAGGCTAACGGTGGGACTGAATGTACGTGTTCTGCAGGGAAAATGACATGAGATGCTTATGAGCGTTAGACCCGAGATCACTTGGGCGATTGGAAGAGTGAAGGGGGCTGCTTGAGGAAGCTTCAGGAACAGTGACCTCACTCTAGGGGATTAGTTATCTGGAAAGTATATCTTTCATCAAGGGGAAGACTGGGAAGACAAGTCACCTGAAAGTCTGGCAATCAAGAGAGCCCTCGTATGTGCCTGAAAACATTGTTCGGCAACTTTCTCCAAATCAGTTCCTGTCAAGATAGATCAAACTGTGCTTCTTCTAAGAATCTGTAACAACAGAAAGACCACATACGGACCTTAATAAAGGCAAAAAAAAAAAAAAATTCTGGTATAGTCTTCTTTAGAGCATAAGATTCCAAAGGGCAGCTTTTTCCTCTGTTTAAGTCAGAGCCCAAGAGTTAAGAGAGTCCTAGTTGGGTGTCCATCAATTTACTTCATGGAAAGCAGCCTTGATGAACTAGCCATGCAATGATGCCTTCAGAAATGATCATCTCAGTGTGGCTCAGTGGACTGAGCGCTGGCCTGCGAACCAAAGGGTCACCAGTTCAATTCCCAGTCAGGGCACAGGCTTGTGTTGCGGGCCAGGTCCCCAGCAGGGGGTGTGTGAGAGATGGCCACACATGGATGTCTCTCTCCCTCCTTTCCCCTCTCCCTAAAAATAAATAAATAAAATCTTTTTTTTTTTTCTTAAAAGGGAAATGATCACCTCGCTGTGATAAAACAGACTTCATAGAGCAGTTTCTGGCAGGGACGTGGTCTCTTGGGACTTCATGCTCCAGGCACCAGACGCACACCAGGGTTCTGTAGCAGGTACTACCTGGTGGAAGCAACACCCAGCTTAAGAGCCATGGCTCTTGCATGAGGCAAAAGTGCTTCACATTCCTGTAGGAAGAACTCTTCCTTCAGGAAAAGTGTTACAAATTCCTGGAGCAAGAGGGACCACAGGGTCCCAGAGAGTATCAGCCTGCAGTTAGAGCCGCAGTGAGAGTAGCCGCGTACCAATGCTTCTCTTTTCTGATTGTCTCTCCACAGGGACTGCTTTAGTTGCTGGCTTCCTCCTGCAGCCTTCCCCTGGTCCCTCAGACTCTGGGAAGAGTTTGCTGAGGAAGAGACCCCGCAGGGCAGAATTTTCAGTGGCTGGGGTAGCCGAATGATTACTTCAGTGGCCCCCAGCCAGGCCTCTTCGTAATATAAATGAAGAAAGCTTGGCATGTTTTGGGAAGGAACTTTGTTAAACTGTTAGCAAACAATCCGGGGCACGGAGACGGGCATTGTGTCACCCTCGGTGAGTGCTTGTCCCGCGGCTGCCATCCTCTCACCTTCCTCCTGTGGGTCTTTGCTGGAGAACTGACTCAAAAATAAAATGGCTTATTGAAGCCCTGCATAGAGCCTGTATTTTTCCATGTATAATGCGCGCCTGTGTTTTTGTGCACATTATACACGGGATTATTATGGCCATTGTTATGCCCATGGTATGTAATTGTTATGCCCATGTATAGTGTGTATCCTTATTTTCCCCTCAAATATTTGGGCAAAAAAGCATGCATTATACATGGCGAAATACGGTAAACATCACTTCAGGATTCCCTGCATCCAAATAACTGATATCGACTACTTTGTTGATCTTGTTCATCCTTCAAGGTGTATTCGAACATTTCCCAGTCTCCTGGATTGCATACAAAAGGATGAACGTTTGGGAAAAGTGTAAAAAATAATGCAAGGGCATTTGCGTGGGAAATGATGTCATCATTTGGATGTTTATGGGATAAATATTACGTCGTAGCAGGATATAATTTACAACTGCCATGTGGGACATGCAAGAAAGATCACATTGCTTAATTTTCTTTAAATCAAATGATATCTGATTTTGAGGCTCTGTTCTGCTAGACTGGTGGAAAACTCAATCTCAAATCGTTATGGGTTCGTCACCCTTACCCACTAACCCCTCCTGCTCTTGCATAAGAACAAAAAATGGAGGACTTTTGTAGAAATGATGCATTCAGGAGCAAAAACCTAAAACTGACCTTTTTCCTGCATTTTCAAAAAAAAAAAGTTAGAACAGTTTTTCCAATCTTTGTCCACACTAATTACCACTTATATGCCCATTGTCCAAGCCGGATCGCTGGAACCTGAGGGCTCTTCTGCCTCTGAGCTAGGCTTGGCATTGTGTCTTTGCTGAGATTGGTTACAACCGTTCCTTCCTGAAGTGCTACCACCTCCCTGGAGATGGAGTGTGTCTTGGATCCCACCACCCAAGGAAACAGCGGACCTCTGTCCTTTCCCTGGTCTTGAAACTGGGCCTTAATGCAAAGATAGAAGCCAGATAGCACTAAGTATAGCAATTAATATCAGCTGACTAAGGTTTGAAGCTTGACTCAACTGCTTAGGAATTGTAACCCTGTTGCCTAACCTCTCCAAACCTGTTTTCTTCTTTTTTTAAAAAGATTTTATTTATTTATTTTTAGAGAGAGGGGAAGGGAGGAAGAAAGAGAGGGAGAGAAACATCAATGTGTGGTTGTCTTTCACATGCCCCCATTGGGGACCTGGCCTGCAACCCAGGTGTGTGCCCTGACTGGGAATCGAACCAGTGACCCTTTGGTTCGCAGGTCAGCGCTCAATCCAGTGAGCCACACTAGCCAGGGCTCCAAATCTGCTTTTCATTCTGTAAAATCAGAATAAGTAAAATAGCTTTTCTAGGCCGGTTGAAGGATAAAATGGAATAATGTGTAGCAGGGCTTAGCAGGATGTGTGGCTCATAGATGTTAGCTATGAAATTCACCTTCCTCCTGATTGAAGGACCTGGGGCAGAAAGAGTAATGGGTGTCACAGGATGGGCTTATTGAAGAAAAGCAGCTAGAAATATGAAAGCCACCAGCTTTGTCCACCTCGCCATTTGCTAAAGGATGATCCGGAAGGGAATCCTGTGTTTCCCCAAAGGTTATAGTGTTGACAGTGCTTAAAACTTTGTAGAGTACTAAAAGATTTTTCCATTTATTGCTTACCACCCCCTGACATGCTCAACCTAATACCCATCATCTAACCTGTGGATGTTCAAGGCGCAAGTGTGCAGTTTTTAGGGCCAGAAGGAAGTTTCGGGGTCAGTGCGTTGGATTGATGAAAGTTGCTATCCGAGGCGAGAGGGAGAACGTGAAGACACACTGGAACAGGTTTTCCTGCGATCCCTTGCACAGCACTGCCACCTGGTGGTTATTTAAGAAATCACACTATCTCCCGGCTTCCCCGCCGCACACCTACCCTCCGCCACGGTGCAGTCCTAAGGTATTAACGGAAAGAATAGGGTGATTGATGCATTGTATTGGCTTCCTGTGGCTGCTGTAAGAAATTACTATAAAGATGGTGGCTTAAAACAACAGGAATTTATTCTCTCACAGTTCTGGAGGCCAGAAATCCAAAATCAAGATGTGGGCAGGACCATGATCCCTGCAGAAGCCCTAAAGGAGATCTGTTTGTTCCCTGAGTTTTCCAGCCTCTAGTGGCTGCCAGCTGCCATTCCTGAGCTCATTGCTGCATCACTCCAATCTCTGCCTTTCTTTTGTATTGTATTTTATTGTTTATGCTATTACAATTGTCTGTGCTCTTTCTCCCTTTGCCCGTTTCTACCCAACCTTCCCATACCTCTCCTCCCTCAGGCCATCCCTGTATCAGTGTCCATGTCCATGGGACATACATACATGTTCCTTGGCTTGTCCCTTCCCCTTCTTTCATCCAGTCCCATTTCTCCCTCCCCTCTGACAGCTGTCAGTCTGTTCCACGCATCCACACCTCTCTCTCTTCTCTGATTGCTAGTCTACTTTGTTTATTACGTTCCATGTGTAAGTGAGATCATATAGTATTTGTCTTTCTTTGGCTTGTCTCACTTAGCATAATGCTCTCCAGGTCCAGCCATCCATAGTGTCGCAAAAGGTAAGAATTGTTTCTTTTGTACTGCTGCATAGCATCCCACTGTATATATGTACCACAGGTTTTTTTAAAAATCTACTCTTTTACTGATGGGCACTTGGGCTGTTTCCAGATCTTGGCTATTATAGACAACACTGCTATGAACATAGCAGTGCATATATTTTTTTGAATTGGTGTTTGGGGAGGTTTTACTTAGGGAAAAATTGTGGTAGTGATATAGAATGTCAAAGGTGGGTGAGAGGGATAGAGTTGGGTGGCTGGTGAGCTCTTCCACACCTTTTCAGAGCATGCAAAAGATCATGGGGGTGTGGGGTAAAACATTGAATCCCCAAAGCCAAATACATGTTTCAGTAAAATAAAGTAAGAGTAGAAGCAGGCTGAACTTTAATAGGGAAAAATTGAAAAACCTGTCTCTAGGTTTAGAAATTATCTCTATAAATGAAGGAAAGCATGTCTAAATGGCAGTTCATGCCCTGGATGGTGTGGCTTAGTGGATAGGTCTGCGAACCAAAGGGTCACCGGTTCAATTCCCAGTTGGGACACAGGCCTGGGTTGCAGACCAGGTCCCCAGTTGGGGGTGCCTGAGAGGCAACCACACACTGATGTTTCTCTCCCTCTCTATTCCCATCACTTCCTCTCTAAAAATAAATAAATAACATCTTAAAAAAAACAAATAGAAGTTCATGTGAAAAATGGTTTAATTTACCACAAGGTTTAGTTGTATGACATGACTGAGTAGAATGATAATGCAACCTTAAGTGGAGCCAATAGAAGTGTAGGTCACTGTCAATGATATTTCTACTGTAAGCTGTGCAAACCAGAGCTCATCTGTTTCCAGTTCAAGGCAAAGTATTGTATAGCATTCATATCGGAAAGTTCATCAATCATAAATATACAGCACAATGAATTTTAACAAAGTGAACAAACCCATATAACTGCTAGGGTGGCCCAGTGCTCCTGTTTTCCCAGGACTGTCCTGGTTTTAGCGCTGAAAGTCTTGCACTCTGTGAAACCCCTTGGTCCTGGGCGAACCAGATAGTTGGTTACCCTAACCCATGCAGATTAAGAAATAGAAAATTACCAGTACCTTAGAAGCCCTCATATGCATGGTCAGTTAGTACAATCCTCCTCTCCAACAGAAACCAGTATCCTGGCTTCTCATACGGTAGTTTATTTTTGAGGTGCTTTATTTTAATACCAGCACTACAAACTAAAGAGTAGAAGTTACAACCTCATGGCTCATCCGGTGAATCCAGCTGCTAGACATGTTCTGTTTGAATCATGCAATACTGGCCTGCAGAGATTTTTCTTTTTTCCATTTTATTTATTTGGGGGGGCAGTTGTATGAGTTTTAACACATGTATAGATAGATTCATGCAACTGTTTCCACACTCA